TCTACCCGACGGCCGAACACGCATTTCAAGCGCAAAAGGTTGTTGATGGTGATAAGCGCCGATGCATGGTGGAAAAATGCGGAACGGCAAAATCGGTAGTTTGGGGGGGAGGGGATATTTTATGAATTGTCAAAAGTGGTGTGAAATTTACAAGTTTTTTGTGGGAAAATAAAAACGAAAAAATTTGTAGTAGTTGGAGAAAGTGGAAATTTTTTTCTGAAAATTTTCTTTCCGTAGGCGAAGGCGTGGGGAAGGCGAGCGAAACCGTTACGACCTGATTGGAATGATATTCGTCTCGACGTTATGCGGGAAGTGATCGGGGCTAAGTTTAAGGGTGGATCGGAGGAGCTGAGGGAGATGCTGATCGCGACGGGCGAGAGAGAGCTGGTTGAGGGCAATGTTTGGAATGATACTTTTTGGGGGGTGTCCCTGAGGACGGGGAAAGGGCAGAATCAGCTCGGGAAGATTCTGATGGAGGTACGGGAGGAGTTGAAGAAAAAATAGTATTTGTATCAAAATGATCGGCCTCTTTTCCTCATTCATGTATGTGGTGGTTCTGATGGGATTTCGCTACTATTCGGTTGAGTGGTGTTGGGTAATAATTTCGTGGCGCGTGACTTTTTTTGGATGCGGGTTGCGAGGTCGTCTTTTATGGGAGTAGCTCAGAGAGAGTTCGCTGGAATAACGGTGCTGCAGTGTTGAAATATATGTTTGTCTCCTCAGCTGAGTTTAGAAATGAATTCGGGTAGAAGTGTACAGAAACCAATGAGAACGTCTCAGAGTTTCCTCCCAGAATTTTCATATTGTCATCACCAACATATGTGGTTGACCATGTGCCATATTTTGCCATACTGCCTGAGGGCTCGTTTCGCTTTCATTTTTTTTCGTGATATTGTTTTACCTTATCCACGTGACATTCGGAAAAGGCGCTATTGCGGCATGAGTAGTGGATATGTGTGTGCTAGGAGTAGTCCTCTACGACTACTGGTAGAATAGTCAGCGACAGTAAAACTGTAGGCATGAGGAGATCGTGATGATGATGCTGAGGATTTCCTCGGGAGAGATTCACTTTATCCGAACGTCTGGTCGGGACCTTTGAGCTCCTGGCTCGTCGAATGCGTTGTGGGTGGTTGATCGATAAATTGAGCGGAGTGGTTGTTAGGGATTTTCATTCAACTCTGTTGATGCCTGCTGAAGGCAATGGGGATTTCAATGTTATTTTTCACGCGAGAGAAGCGTTGAGGAAAAGAAATCGAGGAGAAGCGGAGATTAGCAAGGTCAGTTGTGTTTTGGAATTTTTCTCGAAAATTTCCAAGGGAATTTTTCCCGTTGTAGATGCTTACAATTTTGCGGGATAAT